TATATTGGGTACAAAAAATTTTAGTATACCCTTAGGTACACATATATTAATTCTTATATTTTATAAACTTTTAAATATAAACAAATTAATTAAATAGTTAATATTTATAGGCCTACTTTTTAATATAAGTAAATTAATTAGGGTTGCAGAAGCTTATAGTAATAAAAATATTTTTTTTACTAACCACAAAATAAATCTGCAACATTTTTAAAAATTTAATTCACCTTTACAATATCTATAATATAATATGCCAATCTGTATTTTTGCTATATTAATTTTGACCCAGCCCAAACATGTTTCTATAACTAAGGCTATATTATATTTAAAATTAATTTAATTTTATATTATTTATACAGTTAAATATTCAAAATTACTTTTTTGTTTTAGAGAAATTAGCATGGTAATAACTAGAGATAGGACATTTTTCAAGTTAAGAGTAACTACTCTTTTACATATAAATTTGGGTAGCTATCCCAGTTACAGCTATGCTGTATGTTATTTCATATTCTAATATCTCCACCTCTAGTAATAACCTAATTCTATCTATAATTAAGAAGTCATTATTATGCTAACTTCTCTAAAACCAGAACTAATGATTATTTTTAATGGTTGAGTCCTACAACTCTAATAAACCTTTTTGTGTGCTTCTTTTATTGTTTATTCTTCATAGTTTTATTCTTTTTAAAAAGTACTTTAAACTATATAAATAATATAAAATTATATTGATTTAAACAGTCAATCATAAGAATGTCTTCCTATGGTACTGGCATTGTAAAAGTTTTGGCCAGTATCAATTGTATTATTTGATAATTCTACCATCTGGTATTGAAATAATGAAAAACTATATAAAATTAATGCGTGTTCAATGTTACTAAATAATTACATAAATTTTAATTTATAAGACTTACCGCACACAATAATTATGTAATTTGACAACTAATTATTCATCAAGTGCTTTTTTTCGGACAGAGCTAAATAACTGTTAATTAAAATTTTCAAATATAAATATGATTTGTTAAAGTTTTTTTTTTTACCATTAACAAGTAAATCATAACACTTTTGGATAAGAAATGTGGAAAGATCATAGCAGCTCGAAAATTGGGAAAATTGTATAGGCAAATTGCCAATCTTGTTGGTTGTGATCCCAAGACTGTTTGGAATATGCTAAAATGACATAACAACCAATCTCTAAAATTACTGGATCATTGAGGAAGACCACCAATCTTAGATAAATCAGCACATGATCGCTTAATACAACTTGTTCTAAGTAATCACTGTATGACTAAAAAAAAAATTCAAGACGAATTGAAACAACAAGAGGGCAAAGTAATAATAAAATTTTTTAATTTTAATTTTTATTTATTTATTTATTTTTAATTTATTTATTTTGTTATTTTTAATTTATTTTTTTTATCTTTAAATTATATTGTATTATAGGCAATTTCACAAAGAACTATTAGTCGCACTCTTCGTAAAGCTAATCTATTTGCATGTGTTGCCTGTTCAAAACCTTTTATTAATGCTAACGCTAAAGAAGAATGTCGGAAGTGGGCTGAAGAGCATCTTCACTAGACAGTTGATGACTAGAAAAATGTTCTCTGGTTGGATGAGAAATTTTTACTTTAATTTCTCCTAATCCATATCAATATGTATGAAGATGGCCAGGAGAAGAGTTTGATGATGATTGCCTTGTTCCAGCAATCAAATCTAAAGGGATTATAGTGTGGGGATGTTTTTCTTGGTGGGGTCTTGGTTCTCTTGTTTGTCTCTATGGCAGTATTACAAGTGCATCCTATCATAAGATGCTTAGTCATTATACTATTTCCAAGCTTCAAGACCAATACTCTAATAGTAATAAGGTATTTTAACATGACAGTACCTCGGTCCACAGGGGTAAAATAGTTAAAAGATATCTAGCTAATAAGAATATTGATCATTAAAATGGCCTCCCTATAGTCCGGATCTTAGTCCAATTGAGAATCTTTGTTCCGAGGTTAAAGAAAAGCTTCAAAAATTTCATCCAAGACCTGGCAACCTTAACGAACTTGAAAGGATAGTTAAAGAAGAATAGGAAGCATTATCTCAACATTATTATAAACATATTGTTGAAAGCAAAGTTGACCATGTTATGGAGGTATATAATAATAATGGTGGTCATTCCCATTATTAATTTTTGGGTAGTAATTAGGGTATAATTGATATTTGCTAAGTTAGTATAAAAAACATTTGCTAAATAAATATATCGATTATTTGTTAAGTTTTAAAAAATAATCTATTCAAGTTCATGAATTTTCATTTTAATTTTTATTTTATTTGTACTATTTGGATTAGTAAGTATATTCTTATGATTCTGTAATGAAAATTGGTGTGCGTGATATGTTATACTTGGAGTAATGGTTAATAAAAACCTAAATAAAAAAAAGAGTTAGTCACATATCAAAAAAATAAAATAAAATAAAATAAAATAAATAAAAAAAATAATACTTATCGCCTTGGATAGTTTCCGCTTTGTAGTTTCAGTAATTACATGAATCGTTCATGATTATAGATTACTTTGTTCAAATTATTAGATAAACAATTGTTTATTTAATTTAATAACAAGTTAATAAATATTTACTATTTAAATTAAGTATAGAAAATTTAATTAATCTAAGTAATTAAAAAAAAAAAAACTATTCAGATCAATGATGTTTATTGTAGCAGCTTATGCTAAGTTTTGAGATCCTTATTTAAATTTATAATATCTACTAAATTCACATATTTTTTATTAATAATACTAACCCTAAACCTTAATATAACTGTGAAAAAAATCGCAAAAAGCTTTCAAAATATCTTTAATTTCATAATAAAGTAAGAGTATGTGAATATAACAATTGTTTTTCAGAACTTACTGTTCAATTATGGTCAGAAAACAAAGTTTTTATTCTGTACGTACGTAGCATACAGCATTTCTTTTTTTATAACCTTTCTCTAAAATCATTAACTATTATTTATAGGCTTTTTGTGAGTAAATTTGACGAATAGTACGTATAAGCATTTTATAAAAGAATCAAGGTGAAGATTAAAAGTTGAATATTCACAATAGGTAAAAGATAGTGATTTAGTTGATTCTCTACAAATAGAAAATGAGGTCACATTAAATTGACTTACTACCAGTAGTCAAACTTCTTCAAAATTTGGGGTAGTTTACAAACCACTGTAATGATATAATTACTGCTATATTATGTAGTAGGCAGTCATTATTGACTTATATATTATACTAAATGCATATTATTCACTTACTTTGTATCTCATTCTAACCTTATACACTTATATTTGCTGAGTGCGTATATTCAACAATTTCTTTATTCTATATCTTATATCCCTATATTTGTTAACCTATATTATCTGACGCTCTTTTAGTTTGATGGTTATACTGGTAGATACCCTGATCCTTATCTAATTAATTATGTTATCATACATGTATAAGCGATAGTGCTTATTAATTATTTAAATCTTATGAGTTAAATTGACCAATATTCGTATAAGCACTCCAAATAATTAACTATTGCAATGTATAATCAAATAAATTAGTCAGAGATTTAGATAAGCTAAGTTGGATAAAAAAAAAAAAAAAATTTAATTAAAGACTATATATAAGGTTGAGAAATATATGCTAGCAGGATAACATGCTTTAATGATCATGTCATGTGATAATTGTGACAATCGCCATCAAAATCGTAGCATAATGATAAAATTTTAATGCTGACCTTTAACCTTAATTATCTCAGCTTCTAGTGATTAAAATTAAATGATTTTTTTTTATTTGAAAATGCTTTTTCTCCTCTACAATATAAAAAAAAAGTTTAAAGTCCATCACTAGTTGCTGAAATAATTAAGATATATGATGATAACTAAAATTTTACATATTAGAATAGATTATTTGAATTATTTCTGCAACTAGTGATTAGATTTTAATAATTTTTTTATATTTTATAGAAAAAATATGTATCTATTAAATAAAAAAAAATTATTTGTTTTAGGCTAATAATCATTGAGAAAATTAGTTTAAAAAATGAATTATAAAATTTTTGTTTTTGTTAAATTTGAAGTTAACTATTGATTAAAATTGTATGAAACTTATACAGTAGATAGAGAAAAACTTTGCCTATAAAATAGTAAAATATTATTGAAATTAGTTGATAGTTGTTGAAATATTTATACAGAAACATAAATATTTACCAAATTTATCAAAACCCTAAAAGTAAAGCTAAATAACTTGCTAATTATACAAGTATATGATCTAAAAATAGTATGATATAATCATCAAAAAATAAGGTTTATATAGTCAAGTCAAGAACATAGATTAATTAGTAAGTTTTTGAGTTATTAGCCAAGTCCTTAGGTGTGAAAATATTTTTGTTACCCCTGTAGTAAATTGCAATGGTCACCTACATTAAATCATTTATTTCAAGGGTTTCTAAAAAGAAACTGCACTTATGACATGCATTTTGACAGTTCAGAAAGTTGATTTCTTTATTATTTGCAAGTTTAAAATACAATACAAAATAAACTCAAGAAAAATGTGGTCTCTAAAAGACCTTTGTTGTTTCATATTATAAAATATGATAATGGCTTTAACGAAATGTAAAAGCTTTTTTGGTTTTTTTGCTAGACTAACTTATTATTATAGTCATCTTTTATAACGATCAAGAAAATAAAGATGGTTGTTTTATTCTTTTCTATTCTCTTTTTTCTATTTCTATAACTAATAACAAATTTTATATTTGGAGCTTGATATAGAAAGCCGATTATGTTATAAAAAGCACATTATAGTATGCTCAAGACTGATCGCAAGTTATATTTTTAGTCGTAGATGCAAATATATTTTTTATTTAAAATTTATGTACTTTGTAATTAAAGATAATTATTATGAAAATAAATTTTTTTTGAATAAAATGTAAAAATTTTTATTAAATACTTTTGAATTTGTACAATTACATAATTATTAAAAGTTGAATAAAGTGAATTTTCTAGAAAAGATAATCATTGCTATTACTGTATTATAAGTATTTGTTCTTGTTATTTCTATAAAATGTATTTTATTATGATCTTGGTTATATTGGCATCTCGTAGTAATCTCAACAATCTCAGCCTTGATCTACTACTAAAATTTGGTCTAATTATTGTATATTAGTTTTATAATCGAATTGCCTATAAAAGACCTCTTAAACTCTCAAGCTTCATTAATAATTACAACCTTTTTTTTAAAAAAAAAATTTAAAACATTGAATACTTATTTGAAGATTCATTTGATCTTGAAGATAACTTTAATCAAGAATCTGATATCGATGTTGAACAAGCAGTTTCAGATGAAGAATCTCTCATTTTTGATTTGTATTAATTGAAAATTTTGTAAAAAAAAATAACTAGATTAATTGAAAAATCTGAGAATAAATAAAGTGAAAGTAATGATAAATTCTCTGAAGATTATAATAAAACAAAAATAATTTTAGAAAAAATTGAAATACTGATACCTCCTAATTCTAATGACTCTATCAAAGCTTTATTATCGACAATAATGATGAACCAAGCACAATTCAAAGGTGTAGCAGAATGGCCGATATCAATGTAAATCAATTATTTGGTATATGGAAAATTGATTCTCTGGCAATACAAGAAATTGAAAATAATATCTCAAAGTTAAAAATCTGTTCAAATCATTTTAATTATGATCATAAGGTTGTATATAGAGGTAGCATAATGAAGAGATACTCATCCACCGAAAGCAACATAAACTTACATCATTGTTTCTTTTACAATAAATATAAGTATTTTTTTACAAGAGGTAAAGCATATCCAGTGTATAGATAGAAAATATATGGACAAATAATTCAGGCTTCATATTGCGACACATTTAACTGCTTAACAATTACTAAGTATAATAGTTTATCAAAAAAGTTGCTTGATAATGATAAACATTTCAAATTCATTTGTATAAACTACTTTGTATCACATAGAGATCATCTACAGACTTAGCTAGAAAAAGTTTTGTGTGTAGAATGAGAACAACATAAGTCCAATACTAAATTTTCTTTAAAGTTTTTTGTCAGATGAATCGAACAAACTGCTGAATCAGGAGCTGAATCTACAAAAATTGATTTATTAATAAAAATTATTAACTTTTTAATAGTATCACTACCAATATATCAAAAATACAACTAATGTAATCAAACTCTTTCTGTAAATCACTTACACAAAACAAACTCTAAAAACTTCAAAACAAAAATGACTATAACTTCTTGAAATACTAAGAAAATCTACTTTGGTGCTCTAAGTAAACTTACTCTACTATTTATTTTATATATATTACAGAAGTTTTAAAATATCAACTTGCAAACTCACTACATTATTTACAAAAATCTTCTAAAAATACAAAAACTTACAAATTTAAAGTTTTCTTAAAATTATATTAAGTTAACTACTTACACTTCTTAATAAAAACTTACTCAGCTCCTCTATACAATCATTCTGATATATAATATATTACAAACAAACTCCAACTTATGAAACTATAGCTAAAACTCTTTTATCTCTTCTCTTGCTATTTACTCTAAATTGATTAAGTAAATCTTAGTTCTCACTTAAGACAAATTTGTTCTACCCATTAAGATGAACATTTTGATATATAATATATTACAAACAGACCAAAATTGACGATTTTATATTAAGAAAACTTCAAACTCTCTTGCCAAAAAACATACTTTTAGTTCTAAAAATTTATTGGCAATTTTCTGAAATTCTATTAGTTTGCCCAAAAATTTCACTTTTGTGCATCTATTAAAATTTCCTAGAACCCAACAAATTCCAAAATTTGCTTACAAAACTTGGAAAACTTACTGGACTTTTCTGGAAAACTTATTGGTCTTTCTAAAATTTTACTACATATATACTATACTTTTAACAAAAAATATACAATATCTCTATTTTATTATACAAACCTTACTTTGCACTCTAAGTAAACTTATTCCTAACATAAAAATACACTTTATATTAAAACTTCAAGTTAATATCTTCCAAATTCACTTAAAA